TTTAAACTTCCAAGCTCTTCGCTTATACCTTTGAACCTATCTTTTTCCCTCACCAGCCTCGATCGCCGTTTATTGTACTTCCGTAGTCCGAACTTAACATATGTTGCTACTTTTCTTTTTTGTCTCTTTCCATCTTTTACACTCATCGAAAGTTCCTCCTCGAGAGTAGTTTCCAGCATTCCTTCCTTAAGCTTAATGTAACTCTGATTATGTGCATCACCTGGGGTCTCTTTCAAGCTAACTTGTCCCCGTTCCTTCACCTGTTGATTTTCTATCCGGTTTTTCTCTAAGTTCTCCATTATTTTTACACAAGCCGCTTCACAACCCTTTTTAATTGCCTCTTTCAGTGTTGCAAGAAACTGGTCCATATTAATTTCACACCGCACAATGTTTCCAGCTTCCTCCACCTCCATCTCATTTTCCATCTCCTCCATCGATTCTAATTGCTCTCCCAGTTCATTTACTCAGGTTCTCAATCTAACAGTCTTTACACAAATTGTTCATATTTCCTCTTTACATAACCTCATCGCTGACAACCATTCCTCTGTAGGGGAATCAACAAAGGATTTAATCTTCTGTTCCCCCTAAATAAGGAGTAGCAAAGCTAAAGTCCTTTCACTTTTCCCGGCCGCTGCCTCTCTCCCGTTTGGATCTTTTCTTTTGGGGGTTCCTGCTAGTTTCCGTTTCAGTTTTACTCACGTCTTTTCCCAACTCCGTGCTGCCGTGTTGCCTTGTTGAAACAAAAAGTTTTAAAAACACGGCTGGCTGCTGCTATTCAGGAACATGTTCCTGTTCTTCGGACGCTCCCGCTTCGAGGCAAGCCGGTCACACCCCTCTCCCTGCCAGGGGAAAAAAGGGGGGGCCAGCCAAGCCTCCTACACTCAGTCTCCCTCCAGGAGTCCAAGCGGAGCCTCCCCGGATCCGGGGGGCTCCGACAGAGCACTCGAAAACCAGGCGTCTCGAGAGCTCTCGAGAAGCACACCCGTCTCACAGCGCCACCGCCACCATCTCATAAATTTTCATAATTTTATTTATTTGGGATCTGTGCACACTCTTCCTGCTAGGGAAATTAAGTAATAATAAGCATTTTATTATTGAGAAACCCTTACGAACACCTAACTACTTTGGGTTTTATTGTTCCAAAGACTGCTGCTCAATTTTCATTCCAGTCTTACTTTTCCAGGAGACCATTATTACAATGTCTAGAAACATTTACCTCTGTACCACATGCTGATGATACATTTGGACCTGGAATTGCAGCCATTGTCCTTTTCTCCTTATCCATTTACAGAATGTGGAGATGCATTTATTGAATGGCTGAATGAATAATGGCAGTGATTTGCCCCTAGGTTAGATTGCATTGTAGTAGTACCTGTTAATGTCTAAGTTTATCTTTCTAGGACTGGTGAATAGCCAGAGGACCAAAGAAGATTAGGGCTGCTATTTTAATGAGTATTTCATAGTTTGTATTATATATGAACAAGTGGAGACTTGTGAGGCATATCAGTATATAATCCATGATATGCTTGGAGTCCTATTCCTTCTCAGTTCCAGGTGCAGGGGGTAAATTGTGCTATCGTAGTTCAATCAGTTTCAAAGTATTTCTAATTGTTTGCTGATGGCCCCATTTCAGATATTAATGAATGCCAAGAAGACCATAATATCTGCCGTGGAGGGAACTGCATTAATACCAAAGGTTCTTATGAATGTACTTGTCCAAGTGGCTTCCATCCAATACCTTCCAGGGGTTGTCAAGGTACTAGAATTTTAAATCATCAGTGGGTGCTGGAAGGATGAAACTGCCCTAGCCTTTTTAATAGTTTTATTCCAGGAAAGACTGAATGAGAGATGGTTTCTTTGCATCATAATAGAAGTCAGCCCTGCCAAGCTGATAATAAAGGCACACAAATTCTCTTTAACTGCAAAGTTCAAAATGATCATAGTTATTTTCTGCTTTCCATGTTGATTTCTGTGGGTGTCTGTTAGCTGTAACAATGTACTTATTGATACTCACTGTCAAGGGCTATAAGAAGCATGTGTCAATATTTATGTACTGGGGAAGGAGGTTTTTTAGGATAGGCACGGGCAGGTTGATTTTCCTGGTTGACATACTTGATGTTGTGCTGACCTTTAGGAACAGGTCAGACTTTAATGCAGGCTTAGAGTTCTGTCAGCTGCTACCATATATTTTCTTTATTTGTTTGACCTCATACATCTCATATGCTTTTTCACTGATGCTATACTTAACATTATTGATGTAAATATAAAGGTGGAAACCCCTAAGAATGTATAGATTTATTTGAAAAAATAGATACAGATCTCGTGAACTTAACATATGAGAGTCTTCCTGCATCTTTTGCATCTTTAATTTTGTGTTCCTCTTCTTCACAGACATCAATGAATGTGCAGGAACGAATCTCTGTTTACCCCATGGGGAATGTTTAAATACAGAAGGCTCTTTCCATTGTGTTTGTGAACAAGGTTTTACAGTTTCTGTCGATGGTCAGATGTGTGAAGGTAAGAGTTAGATAAATTATAAAACAAGTAAGGGGTGATAATTACTGACTGAAGACTAGTGACAACTCTTAATCAACCAAATAAAAAATCACAGTAGATATAGCTTACAAAAATATCTCTGTAAAGTGTACATGAAACCTATCCAGTAACCATGCTATAGGTGCAGAATTTCCAATAATTTTGTATTATACAGAAAGAATTGATAATTTTGCCTCTTGGTAGTACATGAGTACCACGAGGCCATTCAGGTTTGACCTAGATCGCATCCCTGATGAATATACAGTAGAGGTGAAGAATAGATTCAAGGGTCTAGATTTGATAGATAGAGTGCCTGAAGAATTATGGACGGAGGTTCATGACATTGTACAGGAGGCAGCAATCACTACCATCCCAAAGAAAAAGAAATGCAAGAAAGCAAAGTGGCTTTCTGATGAGGCTTTACAAATAGCAGAGGAAAGAAGGAAAGCGAAAGGCAAAGGCGAAAAGGAAAGATTTACCCAACTGAATGCAGATTTCCAAAGAAGAGCAAGGAGAGATAAGGAAGCCTTCCTGAATGAACAGTGCAAAGTAATAGAGGAAAACAATAGAATGGGAAGGACTAGAGATCTCTTCAAGAAAATTGGAGAAATCAAGGGAGCGTTCCAAGCAAAGATGGCCATGATAAAGGACAAAAACGGTAGGGACCTAACAGAAGCAGAAGAGATTAGGAAAAGATGGCAAGAATACACAGAAGAACTATACAAGAAAGACCTCAATGTCCTTGACAACCACGACGGTATAATCACTGACCTCGAGCCAGACATCCTGGAATGTGAAGTTAAATGGGCCTTAGAAAGCATTACTAACAACAAAGCTAGTGGAGGTGATGGTATCCCAGCTGAGCTATTCAAAGTCTTAGAAGAGGATGCTGTTAAAGTTCTGCACTCCATTTGCCAGCAAATTTGGAAAACGCAACAGTGGCCACAGGATTGGAAAAGGTCAGTATACATTCCAATCCCAAAGAAGGGCAATGCCAAGGAATGTTCAAACTATCGCACAATTGCACTCATATCACACGCTAGCAAGGTCATGCTCAAGATCCTACAAGCTAGGCTTCAACAGTACGTGGATAGAGAACTACCAGAAGTACAAGCTGGGTTTCGAAGAGGTAGAGGAACGAGAGATCATATTGCCAACATTCGCTGGATTATGGAGAAAGCAAGAGAGTACCAGAAAAACATCTACTTCTGCTTCATTGACTATGCTAAAGCCTTTGACTGTGTGGATCACAACAAACTATGGCAGGTCCTTAAAGAGATGGGAGTACCAGACCACCTCACATGTCTCTTGAGAAACCTGTATAAGGGCCAAGAAGCGACAGTTAGAACCGGATACGGAACAACTGATTGGTTCAGCATAGGAAAAGGAGTACGACAAGGATGTATATTGTCGCCTTGCTTATTTAATATATATGCAGAGTACATCATGCGAAATGCTGGCCTGGATGAATCACAAGCGGGAATTAAGATTGCTGGGGAAAAGATCAACAACCTCAGATATGCAGATGATACCACTCTAATGGCTGAAAGTGAAAAGGATCTAAAGAGCCTCTTGCTCAGAGTAAAAGAGGAGAGCGCAAAAGTGGGCTTGAAGCTCAACATCAAAAAAACTAAGATCATGGCATCCGGCCCCATCACTCCTTGGCAAATAGAAGGGGAAGTCGTGGAAGTAGTGACAGTCTTCACGTTCCTGGGATCCCAAATCACCACAGACTGTGACTGCAGCCATGAAATTAAAAGACGCCTGCTCCTTGGGAGGAAAGCGATGGTGAATCTAAACAGCATGATAAAAAGTAGAGACATCACCCTGCCAACAAAAATCCGCATGGTCAAAGCAATGGTATTCCCAGTAGTCATGTATGGCTGCGAGAGTTGGACTATAAGGAAGGCCGAGCGCCGAAGAATAGATTCTTTTGAACTATGGTGCTGGAGAAGACTCTTGAGAGTCCCTTGGACTGCAAGAAGATCAAATCAGTCAATCCTAAAAGAAATCAACCCTGACTGTTCCCTGGAAGGCCAGATAATGAAACTGAAGCTCAAATACTTTGGCCACCAAATGAGAAGGGAGCACTCCCTGAAGAAGACCCTGATGCTGGGAAAGATTGAAGGTCAAAGAAGACGAGGATGGCAAAGGATGAGATGGTTAGACAGTGTCATAGATGCAACGAACATGAAACTGAGCAAACTTCAGAGGACAGCGGAAGACAGGAGGGCCTGGCGGGAAGAGTCGGACTCGACTGTGCGACTGAACAACAAAGTACATGAGAGTGAAAAATGGTTCATGAGCTTATTGATTAAAGATCCACTGATATTAAATATGCAGCCAATAGTACAGTAGACTCACTGTAAAAGCAGGATTGCTAATAACCCTTGGTACCTCATCATAGTGTATGTGCTTTGTTTATTCTTCTGAATCAAATAAATTCCTTAATATTCTGCAGATATTAGCATCTGTGATGTGAATATAACCTCAATTATGAATATAGCACATAAGTATAAAATTATTATATTTCCATAAATAAACTGCAAATTCTAGTATCTCCTGACTAGTACACACATATAGAATCTACCGCTTTGATTTTTAAAAGGAGTCGGATGATAACGTCTCTCACTCATCATACCCAGTAATAAGTGGCAGCCTTATTCCACAAGGGCTTTTATATAATTTCTTAATCTGCTGTGTTGACAGAAGTTAATGTTTTGCTGTCTAAGACAGGACAATAATTTGGACAGATGAACATCTGCACAATGTAAGTCTTTGAGTTTCCTCTGAAGGAGAAGAATGAGGTCATTCTAGTGCAGTTCAGTCTTCCCTTTCTGTGCTCAGAACCATGGCACCACCACCTCCTTGTCAACAGTCTCGAAGGGGTAGGGGGTTGATAGGAAAGAATCAAGAAGAACAAAACATGAAGAACAAGGCGAAGGAAAAGAATGGAGTGATTTCTGTTCAGACAATAAAGCCATAGATTTGTAACCATTTGATTTAATATCCTTAATACGATGATACATGGGATTTCATCTGGAAATCCCTGTGGCTAGAGATATGATGTGATAAAGTCATATTTGTTTATGGATTTGCAGAAAAACCTAATCTGTCTCCAGTTAACCCATTCTTTCTAAACCATGTTGTTTTCATGCAGTAAATATCTCAGTAATACCCCATTTCCATTTGGAACTGAAGGAATACGTTTCTTTGTTTCTTGTGCAGCCTTTTTAAAGTATTGGAAATATTTTTTTCTTCAGAGCACTAGACACTAAAACAATGCACATTATGAACCAAGTACAACATTGTTATACATCATATTAAATAGATGTAGACAAAATATTGCAGTGAAAGTATACAACACATATATTTTGCTTCTTAAAACTATAAATATGACAGTGAAAATAGTGAACTGGTTTTTTGAATAATGCCTTACTAAACTATTCCATCATAATAAACCTTATGGCCTTTCTTCTCAAGTCAAGTAAACTAAGGGTCAAACTAGCTGTGTTTTTGGGAGATTCATAATTGCCTCTTTCATGGTACTTTTAAATGTTAAAAGCAACTAGAGTAGGCCCCCCAGAATGAATTAGGATCATGGCATGGGGATACTGGCTTTAAATGTTTTCCTGATCCCATTTCCTCGCCCATGCTGTTTGCTCACAGAGGTAAATATGCAAGCGTTGGTATGTCTCCCCCTCCTCAGCCCCAAAGGAACTCCATGGAGCTGCTGGAGAGCAAGAAAACAATGAACAAAAAAGTTTTTACATACTTCTTCCGGGTGCCCAGGCCCATAGCCACTGGGGGGGGGGGGCTGACAACAGCAACTCCCCACCCCAAATTTGCCCTGCCCTCCCTCACCAAACAGCTGTGCCTTTTTTGTTTTTATTTTCCTTTCCCCCCCCCCTCTTTGTTTCCCAGTGAGGTGTAAGCCGAGGAGGAAGAGCAAGAGAGGTGGGCCTCTGCAGGCTGGAGCTGGGTGTTCCTGGGAACAAAGCCAAGTGGAGGGGCAAAGTGTCTGGCTGCAGGCACTCCAAGGGGCATGTTGGTACTTACCTTTAAAGCCCTACACAGCCAGGGGCCTGCATATCTTCGAGACCTCCTGTCCCCATATGAGCCCTGTAGAACATTACACTCTACGAACCAGCACCTTCTGGTAGTCTCTGGCCCTAGGGATATTTGACTTGGTTCAACGGGGCCCAGGGCCTTTTTGGCCTCAGTCCCTTCCTGGTGGAATGAGTTACCTTATGAGATCAGGCCCCTGCAGGACCTGTTACAGTTCTTCAGGGCCTGTAAGACGGAGCTCTTCCACTGGGCCTTTAGTTGAGGCAGCGGGCATCCGCTTTGATCTGGCCTCCCCTGCAGTGACCACAGATCCTACTGGAACCACAATATTATCTGTTGAGACGCATTGTTTGTCTTAATGTATTGGTGATTTTATTGATTTTGATGGGTAATTATAATCTGCATTAATTGCAGATCCGTATGTTGGAACCTACACTGAGCCTACAATGTGGAGAGGGCAGGATATAAGTCTAATAAAATAAAATAAAGTACTAAAAGGAATTACAGAATTGCCCATTGGAAACAATGAGAGAGGCTTGAAGGCCCATTGGAGATAATTGGAGCCAGGAATGCCAAATGACTTGCATGGGCTCCATTGAAATACATTGCTGCAAATAAAATGTGGAATGGATTTTTCAGTTTAAGGTCTCTGGGCCCAGACAGACTACTGTGGGACTACAATGGCAGCCCCCAGAGTGAAATGATGGTCCCTAGGAATAGAAACAGTGCTCTGGGACTGGAATGACAGCCCCTTCTTTGTAGAATGATCCTTTGTAGAGACTTTGCACTACATCTTAGCTCATTGAAAATTAAATAAGTAAATATGTGTTCACCACAACTGTACTCATTTGCCTCCCCCCATAAAAAATGTTTGGCTATGGGCCTGCACATGCCCCAATCTGGATGTTACATCTAATATGTGAAAAACTGCAGGAGACCCCAATAGTGGTCTGTAACAGAACAACAACCTATTTTCATATCTCTTTTATCAAGAGAGGATTAAGGAATATTTGTTTCTTTTCAGGATTATTGTCTGAAAACATGCAGAAACCTCTTAGTCTTTTGCAAATAACTGGATTCTGATATATGTAGTCTTGTTTTCATCATCTGCATTCCGTTCTTGTACGTTCAATTTTGTTCCATTTTCATGAGATTCGTGACACGTCTCAATGTTTGATGTTCCCCACAAAACTAGATGTTGGATACCATGGCTTGGATTCCATGTTTGGTTCCCCTCACACTTCTCTCTGGCTGCTGCAGAGGCTGTGGTTCTCAGCTCCTTTACTGCTAGCATTTCTGCATCCAGAAAAGCTCCTTGAAAAACATTGCTCTTGTGTACACAGCAATGCTAGCAGCAGAGGAAGTGAGTGCCGCAACAGAGGAAAGCCTCTGCAACGGTGAGAGAGAAGCCCAAGAGGAACAATGTCATGAGATACAAGTCCTTTTTTTAGCATCTCATCTTTCTAAAAGGAAAATAAAATTGTCATATGTATGTATGGAAAATAAAATTGTCATATGTATGTATTTCACTTTTCTAAAACGTTTTTTTGTTTATTGCTTATTACATTAGTTTTAAGCATGTTAAAAAGATATTTCTTTAATTATTTCTTCTTCCAAATATGTGTCTGTCATGTCTCCAACCATCGTGTTGTTTATAATGTTAACCCTGTGCAAGCTGCCAAGCACTACTTTGTGAAAAGGCAGGTTATAAATTTCCTAAATAAATACTTATTCCTTAGATCGTTTTCTGCCCTGACCTGGATAGACCAGGCTAGCCTGATCTTGTCAGATCTCGGAAAATAAGCAAGGTCGGCCCTGCTTAGTATCTGGATGGGAGAGGATGGAGGAGGCAATGGCAAACCACCTCTAAACATCTCTTGCCTTGAAAACCATATGGGGTTACCATAAGTTGACTGTGACTTGACAGCAAAAAAAGGCTGTTTTCTAGATTACTAATTCTGCCTTTGTATTCTGCCTGTCTTATTTTCAGATGAAGATGAATGTGCCAACAATACTGTATGCGGCAATCATGGGTTCTGTGAAAATTCAGCTGGCTCCTATCGTTGCCTTTGTTACCAGGGTTATCAATATCTGCAGGATGGTCAAGGGTGTGTGGGTGAGTTAGACTTTTTTTTTAACACCTCTACCCTTTCCTCCCTGAACAAAAAATCTGTTGAATCCATTCCTTATTATTTTTATTACATGCAATCTGCTCAAAATGAAGTAAGTTTCAAACCTTACTGTGTGGAAATACTATATAGCTATTTAATAAGAACATGTTAAAGTTGAATGTGAACCAGCGTCAAAGAAGCCAAGCCAATTCTTTCATCTTTTTAGAACCTACTGTTTCTGAAAATGTCAGGCCATTCACAAATCTTAAGTTGAAATGGACTGAATTTAATACTTTAGCTTATTTAAATGCAACATCTGTTTAGTCTCTTAGCTGAGTAACGAGAATTTTGCAGAACCTACAGGAAATATAGTCTGGTATGTGGTACAGCCACCTCCTTTGGCAGAGTGTTTGAACAGATTTCAATCCTCTCACTAGTCCCCAGAAAAGATACCTATTATGATAATTTCATAAACATGTCAGTGCTGTTTTTTTCACTTATGATTCCCAGGTATACCGTGAAGCAGTATGCAGGTTCTATATACAAAGCAGTTCACAGTGAAACAAAAATTCACAGTGTCTTCTGAATGGTACAAGTAATCATTGCAAATTGCAAAAGGGAATAAAAAGTGTTCATTCAAGAACCCATTTGGAACATTTACTGATAACTGTGAATGGAACAGAAAGACTAATTAAAAGTATACGCAGAATTTACAATATATGTTCCAAAATGTATGATCCAGATTTGAAGGTTTACCTTAAGTTTTGCAGCCCATATTTGGAGACAGATGAAAATTGCATGTGGTGTTGGGGTGAAGATTATGTGTTCAGACATATCCACAAAGCAAGCACCTTATAAGTGTTATCATACAGCTGTTCCAACTGGCCCTCATGGGAGCCATAAGATTTAAATTGGTCCAGAGTTCTTTTCTTCTAGAGGGTATACCTTAAAATTCCTGAGTGGAAAATGCTATACTTCCAATGGCTTGAATTTGTAGAACCGTAAGTAAAGTTCTGCTAGCAGAAGTGATTTTTGCTGCCTCCCCTTTCTTGATGCAGCTCCTGTGGCCAGCGTTAAATCAAGATATTTTGTCACCTCAAGCAAGATATAATCTAGCCCTCCTAATTAGTTCCTGAGCCACACAACATGCGTTCACGTTTCAATTTAATCCGAGATCCATTTGTTTTTGGGGTTTTTTAATATTACAAAGGTGCTGCAATGTGCTTTGAACATTTCTTGGGAACCTGGTACATAAATGCCTTGAATTTGCAGGACTGTTTCCTTCCATATGTCTCTGTGCATCAGGCAGCCATCTATTGGCTATCTTGCCACTTAGGGTGGTCCATCTGGCATTGACCAGAGCTCAGGGTAGGGGTGTGTGGGGGGGAATTCACCTTTTTGGGGATTCAAGTATAATGAAGCCATTTTTTTCAGTATTCCCAAATATACTTGAATGCCAATACTGGTAATGTATTGATATCTGGAAATATTTGGAAATCCCATTTTTTTTTTGGCTCCATTATATCCTATGAGGCCATTGTAGTCAATGGCAAAATCTTCTAAGTAGTATTCAGTGGGCTGGTTGGGGGGTGAGGTAGAGGCACTAAATTTGTACTGTAGCTGCTGGAGCCTCTCCTCAAAACAATCCCCAAGTTTGGAAAAGATTGGACCAGCGGGTCCACTTCTAGGGGCATCCAAAGAGGATGGCCCTATTCTCCATTGTTTCCAATGGTGGGGAAAAAGGCAGGCAGATAAAGCAATAGCCCAGCAGTTTCTCCCAGAGAATATCTGTAGTAGAAACTAAGTGAGGTGTGGTGTGGTGTGAGGGGGCATGTTTGCAAGGCCAGCAGCAGAACCAGTGCAATGTGCCCACCAGAACCACCCCCAGGCCCAAACAAAATGAGAAAAGTTTTTAAAAACTTGCCTTAATCAGTCAAGCCAGTGGATGTCTTCAGTCTTCTGTTCTCCAGCAGGCAGGTTCTTGATCTGAAGTAGTCCAAGTTAGGCCCCTGCCACACGGCAGGGAAAACACGGGGCGAAGCGCGGCTTTTAAAAGCCGCGCCAAAAAAGAAACGCCGCAGTGGGATCCCACGGATCCCGTTAGCCGTGCGCCGTTGCTCCCCGACACGATCAGATGCCGGGGAGGAAGAGACAAGTGGGAGGGGGAGGCTGCCGAACTGTGCATGCTCAAGCATGCACAGTACAGCAGGGGGCAGGGATGCGCCGGCGAAAAGACGCGCCAGCGATCCCACGGCCGCATTTGCCGCGGCCCATTCAATTGAACCACCCAGGTAGGTGGTTCTTCTTTGATGCGCATTTTGGGCGGTTGGGACGGATCAGGGACGGCCACAGCATGATTGCCAGATGTTGCTGTGTGATCGCGCCCGTTTGATGCGGCCCCGATCCGTCCGTCTCCCGGCCCAAAACGCCTCGTGTGAACAGGGCCTTAGTCTCTCAAGCAGCAGTAGGAAAGTCAGGCTCAGAGCAGTAGCTGAAGTAGAAGCCAGCCACACAATCTCCAACCAAAGCTCTCTCAGCAGGAGTGGAGTCAGGAATGGAGTCAGCCAGCCAGAGACATCTGCTTTTATGCTCTCTGGCCATACACAGAAGAATTTCCAAAAAGAACAAATTTCTGTGATTGGCCAAAGAGCAGTGTGCCCACCCTTACCTGTAATCCTATTGGCCAGTGCTCCTCCCCCCTCCTGTCCCTGGGAAACCAAGCTAGGAGTTGGGCTTCAAGTTTGATGCCAGCAGCAACAGCAGCCATTTGCAAATGCATTGCAGTGATTGGCTGTGTGTAAGGTCCCTCTTTCCCCTCCTTCCTGGAAAGCAGAGCAAAGGGCAGGAAAGAGACAGAAACAGCAGGAAAGAGAAGGTAAGTGCAGCCTTTTAAAGTTTAACCCCCATAGCCTGTATTTGGCAATGCCGAATAATGCCAAATAAAAGCTGAATAGTTTTGGCTTTTATTCGGCATTCTATATTCAGCAGCCAAATCAAATTATAGATTCTGATTCAGCTTGCTGGATACCCAAAAATGATGAAAAGGCATTTTTCAGGGGGTTTTCCAGTTCGGCTTTAGCGAATGCTCAGGCCTTTTCCATTGTGGCTTTGGCTTTGTGGAGTGGGCTCCCTGAAGAGGTAAGGGGGGGCACCTCCTTGGAGATCTTCAGGAGGTGCTTCAAGGCCTGCCTATTTGCCAGGGCTTTTGAGGGGGTTTGAATTGCAGGCATCTTTTTAAGGGGGAGGGACTTGGGGCTTGTTATTTTATCTTTGGTTTTAGCTGGGGATGTTTTAACTATTATTTGTTCTAAGCTGTCTTGAACCAAGAAGAAAGGTGGTATATAAATGTTTTAATAAATAAATAAATTTTAGAAATACTTAAACACATAAATACAAAAAATATATGAGGCTAAATGTGGCCATGGCTAAGCTATATATCTTGAATTCTGACTTAGATTGCTATATCATGTGCCTTCCAACTGGCTCTGGGGATCCTTTATGGATGAACAGAAATTGCAAACCGGGACTTCCCCCTCCACTTCCAGCTTCTTAGCTGCTACACTTTGCCCATAAGCTAAGATACAGAGGATCTTTAGGTTGGTTTTTATTGATCTTCAACTCTCCAAAACTTACAGCAAACTGACTGTGAAACTAAAGGACTTTCAAACATAGTATTTAATATGAAAAAGTCAGAATTTGTAGTGGGCTAGTCTACAGCAAGCATTAAGCAGTACTTTGGCATTAGGCCACTGATGGGCAAGTTTACAAGCATCTGAAATCCTGGGTTCAGGCCATTTTATGAAGCTGAAGACCAAAGGTCTTCCCCATCTTTGAACAGCTCCATCCAAGGCACGTGTGGCTTGCACAAGCATTTGTTAGAGAGAGCAAGAGAGAGCTCCTTTTCATTAAAACATCCCACTGCAGTAACAAAACCATAGTTTCAGTCCCTTGGATTATTAGAGTAGTGGCAGTCATGCACTAGAGTGAACCACCCTCTACTAATTAAAACACCAGTGGCCAATTAAACTGGGAATTTCAGGAAGGATTGCATTTCTTCCTGAAATCTTGCAAGGGTAGTCTGACCAGTTCCCTCCAGTAAATGTTCAGGAACAAAGAGACTGCCTGTGTGCGACAAAGAGGGTTGAATAAATATTAAGTTCTATTTCTTTCTTTGAACATGTGAATCCTTCTTCCTATGAGCTGGCTCACAATCAAAACCCCATTTAAAAATAATAATTACTATACCTAAAATCAACCTGTAGGCGAAAAGCTACAACCATAGCTTTGAATCAGGAAAAAAAACGGTTTACCAAAAATCTTAAAAATAAAAACTGCTCACCCTATACTATACAGATTGTCCATTTGTTTTAACAACAGGCTAGTTTGAGGACTAAACCAAAGGCCTGCTGAAAAAGAGAGGCCTTGCGCCATTTTCAAAATCTCCTCAGTCTCTCCAGAAGGCTGTTCAGCAGTGTGGGAGCTGCTATGGAAAAGTCTGTTGATCAAATTGAAACCAAATGTACATCTTAAAAGGAAATCAGAAGAAGGTGTTGAGCCATTCTAAGGCAGAATGCCAAAACACATATACCCAGTAAGGCTGAATGCTTCTGCAAGAGTTTGTTCTGAAAATGGAGTTTTGTACACTGTAAAATGGCAATTGTCATGTGACACAAACTTGGGATAAGTACATACAGTGCCTGCTGAAGTCAGCGAATGAGGGCCAAACTATATATGTGGCTGCAGTTCTGTGACTGGAACTCATCATATGGTGTTTTGATCCGAAAAAGCAGCCAAAAGAAGAGATATGGATTCGGCCACCCATATCATTTCCCTGGTTGAAAATGGCCCCTGGGCTGCTTTTAGCTATTGCTTTAAAAATGTAGTACAGTATTAGTTCCTGTCTATTTCACTTGAAGAGAGGAGGACACTCTTGAGATGTTTGGGTACTCTCCTCCCCATGATTCCTGGAGGCAGGAAGTAGGTTGTTCTTTTCCATTTCCAGTGG